TTCATTATGGCGGTAATCATTATGTTGCCGTAAAAATGCTTATCATCCTCGCTTCTGAAAGAAGGATATTTTGCGCTTCAGTTTAGCATAATAGACACTGCCCTAAGCAATTTAGCATCGTTGATGTATAAGAAGGACCATGATGAGCTCACCTTTTCAATAATACTGTGAGGAAAGCATTGATGTGAAGGCGCGAAACTTAGCCATTGTTGAAAATTAAGGACTGAATGCTTACTGTAGTGGAAACAGCAATGAAATGAAGGATGCTTGGTGTTTCTCTTCGTGACCACGTCAAACAGTCAGGCTGTCCGTCATAGGAGTGACGTGCAAAAGATTGTTGTCTTCACGCGAAGAAGTAAAATTAGATGGGCAAAACAAGTTGCTCGCATTAAAATAACTGGTGTATATCGCGTCCTAGTCAGTGTTACTTGCGACGCAATAAACGACCACTTAAATGGTATTCGAATAGACAGCATAGTGTAGCGAACAGATGATAGGTGCAAACTGAAAGTCTGTGACTTTGAGTCTAAAGATCCTTCATTGCTGCGTCCATCGCACGGGAGCATCTTGGTAATATTATTTGTATGGCATATTTGTACTTACCGTCCGAGGGGTCTTGATGTTCTTGGTATTTTTTATGGATCTTTAATTTGCATTCACTTTTTTAAGGATTCTGGGTCGGATTATGAAATCGTTGTCTCGGATCGACGAATTCCATCAACGCTGCGAATTGTTGCATCTGAAGCTGACACGCGTACACGAAATCAGTTTTGCAGTGCTCACACAACAAGTTTGTGCAAGAAGGATAATGGCGGCTGTGAACAGGTTCCTTCATTTCTTGTTATATAGTTTTTAAAAATCTGGTGATGCAGACGTCAGGAAGGTAGACGCTGTAGGAAGGATGAGCCAGCAAGCGCGAACGGCAAGTCGAATTATCGAAAAAACTGAAAAATAGAGCCGACACACACGCACACACTACGCTTACATCTTCAAGACTGAGGAAAAAAGCAAGAATCCCATCAGAATTAATTGCCTTTTCTGGTTTCAGCTTTGCCACGTGGTTGCAACGAGTACAGGAGTGACAGCTTCGAAAGTTCAATGCGCATGCAATGATTCGTACGAGCTGGTTACGGAACCTGGAAAGGATATTGCCACACAGTGTGTTCCTCGAGAAAATGCTCAAGTTGTAAGCCTTCTAAACGCTTAGTATTCTAAACTCCTTCCGCATCTCACCTTCTAGTAAAGAATGCAGTTGTTATCAAAATAGTTGTTACGGAATAGGCGTACGCCTAGCCAGTGTAAAGTCGGCACGCAAGAGAGCTTTAGAAACGGCTCTCAGCTGGTAATGAAATTGACAGAAAACTATAGTGTAACGATTTTTACATGTTTTTAACGACGCTATCGATGGTTTCTTTTTCCGAAGATTGTTGAGAAACAATTTGAAGGCAGTCTGAAGGTAACATCCATTATAAGCATTCTCATTGATTACAGAAGAATTTATATACTAGCGGTAGTTTCGGTAACTGATTAATGTCTTGTGCCAGGCAATAGTTTATTAGTTCTTATATTCACAAAATTATTTTAATCTGAAAGCAAAACGGTGACGCTAGACTTTCCAGATTTTACCAGCAGTGTTGGTGCTAAAGGAAAAAAATGATTTTTTTGAAGTTTTAACTTATTCAGACTTGTCAACCACCGTATAACTTCCAATGTGGCGACGGAGCTTGCATTGCACTGAGCGATACATGCAATGGCCAGCAGGACTGTTCGGATGGCAGCGATGAACACCCAACTTATTGCAGTATGTTGACTCGTTCTTACACTTTCAACTTACATTAAAATCCGCCTTACCTAGCATTAAAATTCGCCTTGCGAAAGTGCTATAAAATTTAAGACGTTAGCAGCTATTAAGAGCAACCACTTGCCTAGAAAAAATGATATTGGGTCATTCATTTGAAGAGTATCAAAAAAACAAGTTCAGCCACTTAATGAATCAGGTGCACTAGCAAGAGTACTTCAATTAACACCTCTCCGCTTTGTGGTTATTTCTAGAAATGATGGTTCCAAACGGCGTACAGCTACATAATTGGCGGACCTGACACACAGCCAATTTGCCATTACAGTATGCTTTTGCAGAGTAAACAGTAGGGAACTCAGGCTGGAACGCACCAGGCTCTTCGGTGCGATCATGCGTTTTTACACTAAACTCGCAGATTGCTATTAGCAGGAATGATCCGTACGCTGTAGCCTAACACTCGGGTCATATTGATGTGGTTTGATCCTTTCCGGCACGCAGGCGGAAGGGCGTCAGTTAGGATGACGGCGGTGCATTATAGAGCCGTAAGGACATCCAGATGCATGATTACCAGTTTTTTGCATGAAGTCCGATCGTTTTTTCGGTAAATGCTCGCTTTGTGAAAAAATGAAACGAGCATTTACTGAAAAAAAATGCAAATTTCCAGTTCTTTAAAAATTGGAGTATTGCTCGAACGGTCGTTTCTCAAAAAATCCATGTTCATTTGCATATGCGATTGCGGTTCAGGGCCGAGTTGCAAACGATTTTTGGATTGAGCAGCTGCTTGAGGCTGTGATTGGAGCGCTGAACAGCTGAGTTTAAAATTTTTAGCTCGCACGTGCATAGAGAAATCCCAGCAAAGTTTCAGCTTTCAACCTTTCCTGGGGTTGCTGAGATGAAGGTGGGTGACAGAATGCACTCGCTTCCGAAATCGTTTTTGATGACTGCAGCAGCGCTATAGCGCTAGCGCTGCTGCAGTCATCAAAAACGCATATTGTTGAGAGGCTGTCTGTGTGTGTGTGTTCGAAAACGAGTGCATTTTGTCACCCACGTTTTTGCTGTGCAGCTCACAGCAAAAACGCATAAAAAAAAATAGCATGTATACAAATGAAACTCTGTTTGCAAAGATCTTACTGGTTGAAGTAACAACACTTATCAGTGACACGCTCTGAATTTGGTCATACCTTTCGTTTAGGTGCTCATCAGCCACACTGAAATCCTCAACGTCTCTTGTAATTTTGTTCTGTCTGCTTTGTTTCAGTAAGAAATTCAATTCGTTTAGTATCGAATTCATGATTTCGAAATTTTTTTTTGTTCTAGTTTGGTCAATGAGCTAAACAGAAGACTAATTTGGCGTCTCTTTATAGACCTTGTTCGCTCTTGAACGATTCCAATTTTCTACTTTTGTCATAAGAACATGGTGAAAAATTTTTCATCAATAAACATAAGCTGCGGATGTTAGCCAAATAAGTCGCTTTTTGCAGGGGTTGAGGTTGTAATGAAGTAACACTGAAGAGCCCAGCCACTAGTAACAAACTTGATGAGTGGTAATTTAATGCGAGAATTTTTTTTTTTAATGTGTGAAATTATTTCAGATACAAGGGTTTGTCCGGAACGATACTTTCTGTGCACGAATCGGCGTTGTATTGAAGTGGACCGACATTGCAATGGCCTAGACGATTGTGGTGATAACTCAGACGAACTTGACTGCACTGGAACAACAGCTGCCTGTCCTCCAGGACATTTTGAATGCTCGAACGGACATTGCATCAACAGCACTAAGGTAAAAGCGGGAGCGAGAGTTAAAAAATCAAAAGAATTTGACCTTCCACTTTGGCTCAGCAGTTGGCGATTTCTAAAGAACTTATATAACTTTTTTGGGCCTCAGTTTTTCGTCTGTGTCATGCTAGTCATGCACTTTTGTGCTGAATAAATTGCTGAAGATA